AGGGAAATATTAGATTTTCCATGAATGTTGAAGTAACTTCTTTTATAATTTTACATTGATACTGTCAATGTGAAATGTTTTAGAAAATTCTTTTGGAACCAAAGCACGTTTTCTTAAAGATTATTCAATGTCCAGTGACATTCTGTGGGGATGATGCATTACACGGTGATCAGAGGGATTATAATGAGAGATTAATTTTAGTCGCAGCAAGCTATCATGCCCACCTACCATAATGATCTAAGAATATTCCTGATCTTTGATCTAGGGATCTCTGATCTATTACTCAGTGCAGCAGGTAATTGGGTAATGGTATTTGCTTCCTTAATACTTTATTTCATTAATACTTGTCCTTGTCTCCAAGGTGATTTGACTGAAACTGTAACTTTCAGTCAAAGAAAATAACATTATACATTTAAATGAGGATTTCATCTGTGTTCTCTCAGTCCTGCTAACATCCTTTTAAATCTTTAATGCATTTCCTCCAGTACTTCAATGTTTCTTTTGGTATCATGGAGACTATTTAGCACACAATAGTCCAAGTTTCTTTTTTCATTCACACAATTGTGAGGCCAGTATTTATTGCCCATCCTTAATTGCCGAGAGGGCAAGAGACAATCACTCGCTGTGGGCCTAAAGTCACATGTAGGCCAGACCAGGCGAGGTAGTCTCCTAGTCTACAGGATAATAGTGAACCAGATGGGTTTCTCAAACAATCGATAATGGATTTGTGGTCGTCGCTCTTAATGCCAGTTTTATTTAATTGAATTCAAACCCCACCATCTGGGATGGTGGAATTTGAATCCAGGCCTCCAACATTAACAGTTCAGTGACAATACAGTAAGGCTGTGACCTCCCCTATAGAGGCCCCTATCTGTCCATACTCATGGCCAAAGTATTGCAATGGTTTGCCATTGCCTTCTGTGGGAGAGCTATCCACAAGACTCTCCCACTTTTACCACCTACCATCAATATTTACTTTCTGAGAATCACCCTGTAGGGCCATGTTAGGAATGGGCCTTCCATAACCTACGAATATTGGTGTGGGAGTTAAAACTGGAACTTTTGGTCCAGAGGTATGGATATTACCTAGTGCAATACAAGTTCTCTGTGGAATATTGTGTTCCTCAGGAAATGAACCACATTATCTTGCTAGACAACAAGGTGCAGGGCTGGATGAACACAGCAGGCCAAGTAGCATCATAGGAGCAGAAAGGCTGACGTTTCGGGCCTAGACCCTTCATCAGAAAAGGGGGAGGGGAAGGGGGTTCTGAAATAAATAGGGAGAGAGTGGGAGGCGGGTAGAAGATGGATAGAGGAGAGGATAGGTGGAGAGGAAACAAACAGGTCGAAGAGGCGGGGACGGGGCCAGGAAAGGTGAGTGTAGGTGGGGAGTTAGGAAGGGGATAGGTCAGTCCAGGGAGGACGGACAGGTCAAGGGAGCAGGATGAGGTTAGTAGGTCGGAGATGGGGGTGCGGCTTGAGGTGG